GTAAGATGAAATTTTACTTGACATGAACATATAATACAAACACCTTCTGATGCACCTTGTGTAAGTAGAAGTTTAAAATCTTCATTTTCAATTAAGGTCTTATTGTTCAATTTCAAATTCTTTTCGCACCATTCATTTAATGTATTTAGAATAAAATCACGATGGTCTATTTGATTTACCACATCTAAATTAAAACAAATAACTAATTAAGAAATTCTATTCACAATGGATATAGATATTAAAAAAGCATGTAAATAAATGTTCGAGAAAAGGAATCCGAAAAACATATTTCCAACACTTTTTTTTGCAAAAAATGTTTCTAAAAAAGACTTACAGTTGCCCCTAGATAATATCTGGACTTTTTAGTCTTTTGACACTATAAGGAAATACGGAATGAACATTTCTTTCAATAGCAAATTCTTTTAAAACATTTATTAAAAATAAAAACGACGGATAATTTCATATTTTTTTATTTTCTGTACCATAAATATTCGACAACAATATAATCTTTCAACATCAGAAAAAATCCAAGTTACATAAAAAACTAACCTGATGTTCCTGTAGATTGTTGTTGAGTTGTAGATGTTGAAGAAGCTTGAGATAGATCTTGAGAAAGATTTAAACTTGTATCATTATTTTTTGTTAATTGTGATTGTTTATTTCCACTGGATTTGTATTTGTTTTGTTTCATATGTTCATCATGTCTTTGTGAGAGTAATTGATGTAAATAACGAATGTTACTTCGACAACCTGGTTTTATTATAGCTGTATTAACATCACCATCATCAATTTCAAAACAGATTAATTTTTTAATATTGGTTAATGTTGAACATTTAAGTGCAAGAATACCAAATACATCATCAGTATTGAGAAAAGAGTACACTCCTCGAATACCTTGAAACTCTAATAATTGAGCTTCGGCAGGTCATGCTACAACTTCGACCATTTTATAAAAAGCATCATCGACCAGCAAAAGTACATTATCTCGTAATACAGATGTATCAACAGAAAATATTTGAAAAGGCATTATTAAACAGTGAAAATAAGATGAAAAAATTATAATCAATATAGAAAGATAATATAATGATTTTTTTGTAAAAAAAAACGTTGGAAATGGGATGAGAGATTTCCGTTCTTCCATAAGATTATAATATTCTTTTTTTTAATAAGTGCGACATATCTCAATGAATATTTGAATATTCGAACAAACATTATAATATCAACAAATGATCTCTTCAATGAAGTTATGATTGATCAGTTAAATTTCATGATCATCTTGATATGAGAAAAAACATACAAATTAGTTTATTCATACACTCTTAAATGATATAAATCTAGTGATGCACAATCATAGAATTTTAATATTTCCAAAATTGGTAAATGCATTTGTAATATAAGTTTATTTAAATTATTATAAGAATCT